TAATAATTGATGTGATAAACTCGAATTTTGGTGTGATAAGCTCGAATTTTGATGTGATAAACTCGAATATTTAAAACTGGTTCCAACCTCTATGCTAAATTTAACTCATTATATCTAGAGAGGTCCAATTTTTAATTTATTTTTATTTATCAATTTTCATATACCTCACTAATATATTACTAACTCTAATCCTTACTCTTTTCTAATAATGCTATTAAATACCACTAACTCTTATTTATCATTAACTAGACAACTAACTCTGCAAGCAAATGGCAAGCAGAATGCCACAAGTAGCTAATGAAAAGAAGAACTAGTAACTGATAAACTGGCAAAAAAACAAGAAAAGGAATCAGCAATGAATAAAAAGAATCACAATAGAAACAAATGATGAAAAGAAGTACCAGTAACTGACAAACCTAAAGCATCTAAAAAACAATAGCAAACGAACAAAAGGAGGTACAAAGGAATTAGCAAACAACAAACAGAATACACCAACAAACGATGAACAGAATGTACAGCAAACGACAAAAATAAGCACTAGTAAACAACAAACTGAAAACACCTAAAAAGGCATCAGCAAACTAGTCGACAACGACAAACCAAAAATGACGAAAAAGACCAAAGAAAAAAGTAAAAGAGATCTGAAAATGCAAAACACCAATTATAGCAAAAGGTAATACTATGAAATTAAGTAAAGAAAAAATGTATAAAAATAAAAAAAAATAAATACTAGTATATATATAAAAAAATCTATGTAATCAAATTTTCTTCTAGTTAACTGTACCGTGCATATGATCTAGGTTGGAGGATCAGAGCACATGTGACTCAGAAAAATTCACCTACACCCTATATCTGTCATTGCAATATATAAAATATCAATATTCAATGTACAGTGCAGGACAGCAAAAAACATCTACTTTTTTATATATAAATATAAAAATGCTTATAACTTTTGAACAAATGACTTTAAAAAAAATCTTTCTTACAGATTTGTTGCTTTTAGTCTAAGCTACAATCCTGTAAGACAGATTTTTATTTTTATTATAAAATTAAAAAGTTATTAGGGTTTAAAATTTATAAATTTATATATAAAAACCAAAATTTGGCGCTTATTATATAAAAAATAATCAATTTTATATTTTTAACCAATCAAATTTTTGTTATACAAAAATTAGCCAATCAGAATCATTATAAATTCTCAAATTTGACACTTTTTTTAAAAAAGTTGGATGTTTTTTGCTGTCCCGCACTGTACAATATGTTATTTAACTAAATAGTTAAATATTTGGTTGTATTATACAATGATTATTTTTAAAGGTATGATGTTTATTCTTTTAAATTAAACAACAAGTTGATTATTGATTTTAAAACTTCCTGATGTACTACCAACACATGCACACTTTCACAATATCTATCCCCATATATTTACATCTTCTAATTGCTTTTCTTGCAACAATTTTGACTCTTCTTCTTACTGGTACACTTGTCCTAATCATACTTTTTTAAATCAAACTATTAACTCCTCAATATATAATATTATTACCAATACCAATTTTAATTTTTCTTCTTATTAAACACATAACCTTACTATTTCTTTACACCCTGCTTTCAATCTGCTACTATCTCTATTATACTCTTTCTCTCTTAATTCCACACTCAAAGGCCTCATATCTATATCTCTAATCTAATCTTTAGACCTATTTGAAATTTCATACTCTAATGCTTCTTAGCTTATTATTTGGCTACTTCTTAAAATTTCTGATCAACTTTATAACAATATCTGGATCTCATACTGTATCAATTTCTCCAACTGGAAAAAATTTTACCAAATCTCTTCCTACTCTAATTTCAATAGGTGACCTCAATCTTCTCTACAGCCTACCAATAGAAGAAACAAAATCAACTATATGTATAGTTGCTCTTGTGGCTCTGCTAACCAATTACACTCTGATCTTAATACTTGTCCTTCTCTAGGCAAGCTACTTTTAAAATTAATATTTGGTCTACTATGTAGATCAAATATAACACACCTGTCAATCATATCTTAACAATTCAAACCTAGATAAGTTTTGACTACTCTAGTAGGTTTAAATCACAGATAATTAGTTTGAGCTTTTATTCTTGTCTATAATTTATATTTATTTGTTATTATATAAATTAAGTTCTTATATATTTGATATGTAATTACTTAAATAAATTAATCAATAAAAATATGAGCAAGGCCTCATCTTAATATTAAAATATATATATATATATATATAATATATAATTATACTACTATTATATATAATAATAATATAAACTTGAATAACTTTTGATCCACTAGACCAATTTGGATAATTTAACTACCAAAATAATCCTTAGAATAACAACTTTCTAATAGATCCAAAATCATCCAATTCTAATTACAGGATCCCAAGATCAGAAGCATTTACTATATAGTAAATATAATACAAAATACTTCTAATCATGGGATTTTGTAATCAGAATTGAATGATTTTAAATCCATTAGAAAGCTATCACCCTAAGAATCATTTTGGTTGTTAATTCATCCAAATTGGTCTAGTGGATCAAAGTTATTTAAGTTTATATTATTATTATAATAATAGTAATATAATATATATATAATATATTATAACTATTTTTAAATTAGCCAATCAGAGTTGACTTATATTGGGGGAGGAGGAGTACCTCTATAGAAAAAAGATATTATGTAATATATATCACTATCCTTACTATTCTGTTATATTTTTGTACAAATTATATAGTTATTTGTTCTCTATTATTTGAAATTATTTTTTATCACTTGATGGCTGACAATCTACAAGAACTAAATGAAGTAAAAAAGTAATATTAAATTTTACTCATATTCCCAATTTTCTATTAAATATATCGACTAATAAATTTACAACAAACCATTAAATAAAAAAGTGTGCATGGAGAATTTCCACTTACATTAGAGTAGGTGTAGTGCTACAAATCAAAAGTTGAAAAATCAATTAGTTGATCAAGTTGACAACTAATCGATTCCATTTTACCAAACTAACTTAATCGATTAGTTGATTAGTCGACTAGTCAACTACCCAACTAGTTGACTAGTTGATTAATTGATTAATTGATTAATTAATTAGTTGATTGGTCAACTAATCGATTAGTCGACTAATCGCTAATCTAATAATTATCATATATAAATAATATATATTTATTTACAAATCTTTTCTAATAGCAAAAAATTATTATTCCGGTATATACTTTGGATGCACAAAGTAACTAGTTAATTAATTGACTAATCAATTGGTCAACTAATCGATTAATCAACTAATTGATTAGTTGATTAGTCAACTAATTGATTGGTCAACTAATCGATTGGTCAATTAGTCGACTAATTGATTGGTTAACTAATTGATTAGTCAATTAGTTGACTAATCAATTGGTCAACTAATTGATTAGTTGAAATAAAATCGATTAATCGATTAGTTGGGTAAAATGGGTTGTCAACTAATCGATTGAAAAATTTTTGTCGATTTGTAGCACTAGGTAGGTGCTAAAGAAAAATCAAAAATTTTAAAAAAAAGCAGGCAAAAAAATTAGTAAACATGTAATAGCTTATTTAGAAGGATGTTTTTTGTGGGTAATGCTGATAAAAGCAATAGATTTAGTACAGAAAAAATATGGAAAGAATTAATAAAATTGTTAAGGTGGGTAATTTGAAAGAAAGTGCCATTTCAAAAGTGTTACCTATTCAGAACTGGATCACAAGATATATGATGCAATACAAGCAATGAACATGCAAATAAAAATTTATAACAGTATATAATAAAAGTCTATATATATATATATATATTTTTAATATTTAAGATGAGACCTTGCTCTTATCTTTATTAAACTTAATGAAAACTTTTTACATAATTGAAAAAGGT